AGTTGGGACACTAAACAAATTGTGAATAAAAACTGAATGCAATGCTGTGGAGGTACCAACATCTAATATTTTAGTCAGAATAGAACACAAATCACAGATCAAATGTTTAAACTGAGAGAATGTATCATTTTAAGGGACAAATCTGTTGTTTCCAAATTTCATGGCGTCAACAAATCCCAAAAGAGTTAGGACATTTTTACCAATGTGTGGCATCCCCCCTTCTTCTTACAACACTCAACAGACATCTGGGGACAGAGGAGACCAGTTTCTCAAGTTTAGAAATAGGAATGCTCTCCCATTCATGTCTAATACAGGCCTCTAACTGTTCAATCGTCTTGGGCCTTCTTTGTCGCACCTTCCTCTTTATGATGCGCCAAATTTTCTCTGTAGGTGAAAGATCTGGACTGCAGGCTGGCCATTTCAGTACCCGGATCCTTCTCCTACGTAGCCATGATGTTGTGATTGCTGCAGAATGTGGTTTGGCATTACGTGTTGAAAAATGCAGGGTCTTCCCTGAAAGAGATGACGTCTAGATGGGAGCATATGTTGTTCTAGAACATGAACATGCCACAAGCGCTCATGCAACCCCATACCATCAGTGATGCAGGCTTCTGAACGGAACGTTGATAACAACTTGGGCTATCCTTGTCCTCTCTGGTCCGGATGACATGGCGTCCCAGTGTTCCATAAAGAACTTCAAATCGTGATTCATCTGACCCCAGAACAGTCTTCCATTTTGCCACACTCCATTTTAAATGACCCCTGGCCCAGTGCAAACGTCTGAGCTTGTGGAACTTGCTTAGAAATGGCTTCCTCTTTGCACTGTAGAGTTTCAGCTGGCAACGGCGGATGGCACGGTGGTTTGTGTTCACTGACAATGCTTTCTGGAAGTATTCCTGATCCCATTCTGTTATTTCCTTGACAGTGGCATTCCTGTTTGAGGTGCAGTGACGTTTAAGGGCATGAAGATCACGAGCATCCAGTAGAGTTTTACTGCCTTGACCCTTACGCACAGCGATTGTTCCAGATTCTCTGAATCTTTTGATGATGTTATGCATGGTTGATGATGATAACTTAGAAGTCTTTGCTATTTTACGCTGGGTAACACCATTCTGGTATTGCTGCACTATCTTTCTGTGCAACAATGGTGGAATTGGTGATCCTCTTACCATCTTGGCTTCTGAGAGACACTGACACTCTGAGAAGCTCTTTTTATACCCAATCATGTTGTCAATTGACCTAATTAGTGTTAATTGGTCTTCCAGCTGTTCGTTATATGCTCAATTTCCTTTTTCCAGCCACTTATTGCTACTTGTCCCAACATTTTTGGGATTTGTTAACACTGTGAAATTTTGAATCAACATATTTTTCCTTTAAAATGTTATATTTACTCAGATTAAACTTTTGATCTGTCATCTAAGTTATATTACGAATAAAATATTGACATATTTCATCTCCACATCATTGCATTCAGTTTTTATTCACAATTTGTTTAGTGTCCCAACTTTTTTGGAATCCGGTTTGTATAAATATATCACATAATTAAGATATACTACACAGGTTGTGTGACAGGTTATTGCACAGGTAGTGATATTGAGATTGAATTATGATGGTAAAGTAGATACTGTTTCATACATGATACAGCCTAGAATCAGCCTGGATACAGCCACATAGTGCAGCAGCAATAAATAATAAACATATTAGCTGACACAAGCTAATATTAGTCATATTAGTTGTCACAGATGTGGCTTGGCACAATGTTATTGCCAGTTGTTCAGTGTTATTTATTCAGAGTTCAGAAATATGTCGCTTGTAGATAATAGCTGTCCTTTAGTCTTTTTGTACATGATGGCAGACTCCTGTATCGTCTTCCCGAGGGTAGTCGACAGAAGAGTCCTTGTGCTGGGTAGGTGGGGTCCTTAATGATGCTGCCTGCTTTACATAGACATCAGCTGTGGTAGATTCCTGGATGGTGCAGACTGCTACCAGTGATGTCCTCTGCACCCTCTGTAGTGCTTTCTGACTGGTGCAGTTCGTGTACCACCCTGCGATGCAGCCTGTCAGCAGGCTCTCAATGGTGCATCTATAAAAGTTGGTGAGGATGCTGGTGTTCATACCAAACTTATTTAGTCTTCTTAGGAAGTAGAGTCTTTGTCTGGCTTTCTTGACCACAGTGTATGTACGTAAAGATCAAAACAGATATACAGTAACCTGATGCATGCTCAATAATCCAGGTAGAAAAATCTAAAAGAGTTAAATCTGGTCCTCTGGACATTCAAAAAACAAAACAAAGCAAAACAACAAAATAATGTAGAATAATGTAGTTTTGTCTTCCATCCGAAAGACTTCCTCAGTCTGAGGTGCTGTATTCAGCTCAGTTTTATAAATAGCACCTTTTCAGAGTGGATCAACCAGTTTTGCTGCTGACAACCAAAACCAGCTGCTCACATGGTCAAGAAGAACCATCAGCCTAACAATGGATCATTAGCACACTGATGGCTGTTTACTATTCACAGGAGGCTGAGTGATAATAGCAATAACAGCAGTGTAAGAGGGGGACAGTTGAACCCGGAGGCCTCCACCCCTGTTTAATGATGGACGATTTCTTTTCACAAAGATGGCCTCTTTACTCCTCTCTCAAACCATTGTTCCTCTCTATCCAGGATGTGAACATCTTCATCCCTGAAAGAGTGACCACTGGCCTGGAGATGAGTGTAGACCGCAGACTCCTGGCCTGATGTTGTTGCTTTTCTGTGCTGGGCCATTCTTTTGGCCAGTGGCTGTTCAGTTTCCCCAATGTAAAACTGATCACAGCCCTCCTGACACTGAACAGCATACACAATATTACTCTGTTTGTGCCGGGGGACTGGATCTTTGGGATGAAACAGTCTTTGCCATAATGTATTTTGAGGTTTAAAATCCACTGGACGTTGTGTTTAGAAAATAAACGTCTCAGTTTCTCTGATACTCCCTCAACATATGGAATGACCACTGGTTTGGGTCTGGGTTCCTCCTTTTCACCTGATGGCTGACTGGAGTCCTGTTTGGGTTTCTTCTCTGCTTTCAGGAAGGCCCTTTTGGGATATCCACATTGCTTTAGAGCCTGTCTTGTGTGGGATTTCTCCTTCTGCCTGGCTTCTGAGTTAGTGGGGACGCTGTCTGCTCTGTGGTACAGAGTCCTGATGACTCCTAACTTGTGCTCCAAAGGGTGATGGGAGTCAAACTGCAAATACTGGTCTGTGTGGGTGGGTTTGCGGTACACCTCAGTTTGCAAATGTCCTCTATCAGAGACTGAGACCTCACAGTCCAAGAAAGCCAACCTGCCATTTTTTACATCTTCTCGTGTGAACTTGATGTATTTATCCACAGAGTTGATGTGATTGGTAAAATGTTGGACTTCCTGGACTTTAATTTTAACCCAGGTGTCATCAACATACCTGAACCAATGACTTGGTGGTGTCCCTGAAAAGGACGTCAAGGCTCTCTTTTCTACCTCCTCCATGTACAGGTTGGCAACAATAGGAGAAACTGGAGACCCCATAGCACACCCATGTTTCTGCCTATAATATTGCTCCCCGTATGTGAAGTAGGTTGACTGCAGGCACAGTTTCAAGAGTTGACACAGTTGTTCTGTGGAAAGCGTGGTCCTGCTGCTCAGAGTGGTGTCTGATTTTAATCTTTGACCACCTCTACTGCATCATCAGCAGGAATGCACGTAAAGAGTGATGTGACATCAAAAGAGACCATTGTTTCATCAGTCTCCATGATGACATCCCTCACTTTATCCACTAAGTCCATGGTGTTCTGTATGTGATGTTCTGAGCTGCCAACTAGGATGAGTACAGACGCCAAATATTTGGAAACATTGTAAGTGACAGAGTTAATCATGCTAATCACGCTGACCGGCGGGCACCAGGCAAGCAAGATCCTTCAGAAGGCACAGACCCAGCTGCTGATTGAACGGGTGAGACAGACCAATTTTACTATTGAGGCCTTGAAAAGCCAAAGAAAAGCACATTAAACAGAAACTAACAACGTGCCTAGATCAGACCACACTTCAGCAAGTGATGTACTGTACAGATCAGGCACGCTTAGCACAGCATGTCAAGTCACACACTCGACAACAAAACAAGTT